AAAAAAAAAAAAAAGAAACGAGAGGTTGGAAGGTGGCTCAGTGGTAGAGTGTTTGCCTTGCATGCATGAGGCCCTGGGTTTGATTCCTCAGCACCACATAAGCAGAAAAAGCCGAAGTGGTGCTATGGCTCAAGTGGTAGAGTGCTAGCCTTGAACTGAAGAGCTGAGTGACAGTGCCCAGGCCCAGAGTTTAGGCCCCAGGACTGGCAAAAAAAAAAGAAGAAAAGAAATGAACTTTACAACTTGGAGGGGGGGGGAGGAAAGGGAAGAGGGGTACTGGGGGAAGGAAGAGATAGTAGGAGAAAAACAAAGGAGGGGGTAACAATGCTCAATAAACAATGTACTCATTACCTTACTCATGTAACTGTAACCCCTCTGTATAGAATCTTTACAATAAAATAAAATTTTAAAAATAATTTAAAAAATCCAGATTTTGGAGGCAAAAGAATTAGCTCTTCAACAAGTAAATTACAAGGGAAAAAGAGATGGAAATGGAAAGAGGTTATAAGACATTCAAGCAAATGCAGAATCTGGAGCCAGATTAAAACAAAAAAATATTCTGAAAACTATTTATGAGACTATAAAAACTGAAACACTGATTTGAAATTAATAAAGTATTAAGAAGCTGTGAGGTAAGATATTGACAACACATTTATATCTAAAAAGAGTTCCTAAGTACACAGGCTATAGATATGAAGTTGAGGCTAGTCTGAGCTAAAAAGTAAGACTCCTGAAAAAAAAAAGAGCGAGCCATTTTTTTTTTTTCTGTCATGGGGCTTGAACTCTGGGCCTGAGTGCTGTCCCTTAGCTCCTCAGCTTAAGGCTAATACTCCACCACTTGAGGCTAATACTCCACCACTTGAGCCACAGCGCAACTTCCGGTTTTCTGAGTGGTTTATTGGAGATAAGAGTTTCACAGCTTTTTCTGCCCGGGCTGGCTTTGAACCATGATCCTAAGATCCCAGCCTCCTGAGTAGCTAGGATTATAGGCATGAGCCACTGGTGCCTAGCCGAGCCAATATTTTTTAACATATGGATGGCCAAGCCAATATTTTTTAACATATGGATTAATATGATCTATCCTCTGAGATGTACTTTATAATGTCAAAAGGAGGACGTGGGTAAAGCACAAATAACAATATTACTTACATATGAATAGTTGTGGAGATGGGAGGGCAGGGATGATAGGGGAAAAACAAAGGAGGAGGCAACAACTCATTACCCTGCTCATGTAATTGTAACCCCTCTGTACGGTATTTTCACAGTAAAATATTAGATATTGGCTAAGGAAATGTGGGGTTCTTGCCTATCTTACATATTACTGGAACATTCCCAAACAGAGCTTATAAACCTTATATAGTATTTACTGAAAACAGCTAAACAGAATGATATATATTACATATAAATATATACTCATGCAAAATAATATACACACTGCTAAAGCAAATAGACAAAGGAATATACACAAATGGCATTTGAGAGGTGATTAGGAAGATGAGGAAACATAAACAAGGCAATGAATAAAAAACTAAGTGAATATGACCATGTGCCCTCAATAAGGAACCTGTCCAACTCAACTCTGACTCTTAAAGTCTAAAAGGCAACAACAATAATCATCATCAAACATCAGCACCAATACATAAAGGGAAAGAAATGTTGATATGAGGTTACATAGGATAAAAGCAGATTAAGAGGAAGGAATCACATGGAGAATAAATAAATAACTGCAGTGAAAACATTGAGGCATGGTCATTGATTTTTTTTTCTGCCCCTAGACAATGGAATTAGAACTCAGAGTCAGTTGTTCCCTTGTTCTGATTAATCCAGTAAGTGTTAATTTCAGAAGGTCTTGAAAAGAGCAGAGAAGTTAAATTGCAGACTAAGGGAATGTGGCAAGGAAGGTCTACAGAGTTCCCTGGAACAGCCAAAGGGAGAGCAGGCCATGGTGAAAAGTAAACAGACCAATGAGGGAAGAGCCAAAGAATGATAGGAGGTGGTTAAAAAAAAAAAAAACAACAAAGACCAGAGAAGAAAGATAGTATGCTTTATGATTTAAACTCAGACTGAAGGTCTTTGGTCTTAGGTAATTAGAAATAAACATAAGGTATATCATAATAGCTCTTAATTCTTGTCAGAACTATCTTGTATATAATTCTTTAATGCCTTATATTTCCTACAGAATGGTCCAAAATTACTAGTATGGCCTAATAAAGTATGACCCCAATCTATTTATACAGCTTTATCTTGATAGTCAACTTCTTCTGCTAGCTTTGCATGAAAATGTTTTAGCTCAACAGAATTTTTAAAACTACTATTTTAATCTATCATCTTCCAATGTGTGCCACTAACTACAATTCAATGTAACTAGCATTTTTCATTATTTAGTATGTGGAAGGAAATACACTAGGTATTAGAGAGAAATAGTTTTCAAAAATTTCTTATTGTACCCTAAAGTAAGAATTTATTTTGTGACCTACCCATGTACATGTACATATATATATACATACATATATATATATACACACACACACATATTATATATGCTGAACTAAAAGTCTCCCCAAAACATGTATCCCCAATACATGTGATACAATACTATTTTCTGTTCCATTTTATTTAGTCTATCCCATTGAAGAGCTGAGGGACAGTGCCCAGGCCCAGAGTTCAGGCCCATGACTGAAAAAAAAAAAATAAAGTCTGTCCATTCAAAACTTGAAAATGCTCTATTTTTTATTTTTAATAAATAGTACAATGTGAAGAACATCATTCAATGAATGCTTTTCAACTTTAAATTTAATAAGATTTAAATATATTCCAACTATTTCCAGGGAAAATTTAGTGTTCAAACTGAAATATGCTGTAAAGGTATGAGACATTGGGTATCAAAGATTTATACAAATATAAGAATGTAAAATACCAAATCATTCAATTTAATATTGACTACATGGTAAGATGTTTTAGGTATAAATTATGTTGAATAAAATATACCACTAAGTTTAATTTCTTTTCATCTTTCTTAATGAGGCTACTAAAAAGGATTATACATGTAGCTTGAATTATATTACTATTGGACAAGATTACCAGAGAATAGAATATACCAGAAATAGTTCTTTACTGTAAGGAATTTGACATTTGGGAGGAAGATAAGAAAAAACCAATTAGAAAGAATAATATATAATAACTAAAAGTAATACATACTTATTACAATTTAATGGGGAAAAAGTCAAAAGATAAGTTCAAGTGGTCCAAATGCAAGACATAATCAGAAGTGATGATTTTCTCTATCTCCAAAGAATTAATTTTAATACTGGCACTGGAGCTTTTAAGGGCAGAATTTCATCTAACTACACATAAATTAAGCCAATAAAATAAAATAATTAAATTTCTAAAAGTATGACCCTACTGGTGGCACATGAGGTGATTTTAGGTGAATCACAGTAATATTTTATTCAGCTTGTACTGACAGGCCCTTGTTTATTTTCATGCTCTTTAACAAATACACACTAGTAAAACAATCAACACATAAAACTCCTAATTTTACAGATGCTATTGTGTGACGTCTTTATATAAAAGAAAATTCTGTAAAGAAAATAAGAGATTTGGTTTTAAAAATATTAAGTAAATTATTGTACAGTTGGTCTGTGGATAATATACCACTCACAGACACTTTTGTTTGAGGTGATTTTTCAAGATAGATTTCTGGTAGGACATCAAAATATTTAATTAGAATTATATCAATTAGTTGCAGCTTGCTTAATAATTGATGAAAATTACTATCTCAAATTAACTTTTACAAAACATGGAATTATTTTGATTTAAGTCACAACTTCCCAACAATCCTACCCGTATTTACCTTAATAATCTACAAAAGCTGCGCCGGTAACTCAGCCGCTGGCTTGCTGCAGCCACACTGGGAGGAAGAGGAGGTCGGGGTGGGAAATAAGCTAGTGTTGCAGAGAATATTAAGCAGACAACTCCAAATTCTGAAATCAAAACAAAAAGTAAAATGTTAACTAACTACTGATAGAAAACGTTTAAAAGATATGCTTATTCAGTGTGAACTAAATCTTACACCAGTATAAAGATATGCAAAAACACAGTACCTAGCCACAATATCTTAATCCAGTGAGAAAGGTGGAAATGGACATTTTAGGAGGACGCAGAAAGAAATCACTCTATAGGCAAAGCACTATGAAGACTGAATGAATGAGGAGTAGACAACTGTTATTCTGTGCAGAAAACATTAAAATCCAACAGTGCGTTACTGTAAAGGAGATTTTTGAAACAGAGATAAGATGTCTATTTTTGGTTGGTCCTGGGGCTTGAACTCTGGCCTGCGTTGTCCTTCAGCTCTTCAGCTCAAGGCTAGTGCTCTACCACTTGAGCCACAGCACCACTTCCGGTTTTCTGAGTGGTTTACTGGAGATAAGAGTCTCATGGACTTTCCTGACCAGGCTGGCTTTGAACCAAGATTCTCAGATCTCAGCCTCCTAAGTAGCTAGGATTACAGGCCTGAGCCACTGGTGCCCAGCCTAAGATGCCTATTTAATAAAGGACAATACTGAGGAAGAAAGATTATGAGAGAAAATTGGTAGAATTTATTTGATCAAGTGTAAGATTTCTGAAGCCTCAGTAGGACAGATCCAATTTACAGAGCATTGCAGGAAAGTTAACAGGACAAGAGAACATTCTAAAAATAAGCAACCAATAAGACAAAAAATTTAAATACAAGACTAGCTAATGTGGAATATTGAACAACCAAAAGAAAATGAACACCCAAGCCATCTTAGTTTAGCCCCCTTACAGAAAATGAAGTTTCTAAGACTTCATCCTCCTTTCCACAGTGCTGGCACCTGGAAGTCCCTGCTTTTGTTCTGTGCCCAATGGACAAGAAAAGCACAGCATTCACTGAAATCAGGAAACTTGGGACTACTGACCTACCTGTTGAAACCCTCACTCCTTTTGGACCAATAAAGGTCCAAAAAAAAAGTACATATCTATATGTACTTTTTGCCGCACAATTCTATTTCTAGGATATATACTTAGTGGATTTGTATGAGACACCTTAATAGATTTTTTTTGAGGGGGATGAGGGGGTTGGTCATGGGGCTTGAACTTGGGCCTGGATTCTGTCCCTGAGTTCTTTTGCTCAAGGCTAATGTTCTATCACTTAAGAGCCACAACTCTACATTGGTTTTCTGGTGGTTAACTGGAGATAAGCGTGTCACAGACTTTCCTGCACAGGCTGGCTTCAGATCACAGCCTCCGGAGTAGCTAGGATTACAGGCATGAGCCACCAGCACCTGGCGTTGTAGATTATTTTACTTAATTCAACTAGAAAGTTATATATTTCCAACTTGGACAGACAAGATTGCTAATTTACAGAATAAGCATCTTTACAACATGCATATTAGTCATTTACATTTCTTCTGTTTTTGCCTTGGTCATATTCCTTGGCTACCATTCTAAAGGCATTTTTGTTAGTAGCTCTGTGAGATATGCAAAATAGAAAGCTGTGCTCCTAAGAGGAGCACAAAAATGGAGGGATAAAGGGTGAACAAATGCAGCAGTGGTACTCACTAGACACTATGCTGAACATGAACCACACAAATTGTGGGTATGGATGAAATGGAAAAAAATGGGAGAGAGCGGAGGAAGGGATGACATTGTGCAAAAAGAAATGTACTTATTACCTGGCTTATGTAAGTGTAACCTCTATGAGTACCACCTTTATAATAACAATAAAAATCAAAAAAGCCTCAGGCTCTCTGATAGGTAGCTTTGGACATGGATTCCAATGCTGTCCAACTATAATGTGCTACTGTACACACTCCTGGAATGTGCACTGCACATTCTCTTCCGATAATGTATCATAAGAGGTTGTAATTTTGTCACCTTCATGGTTAAATAAACTGACTTCCATCTTGTTGACAACAAAATAAGGATGGTCCAAATATTTTGTATCATTTATACACCATTATGAAACCATTGGCATAATTTTATCATTTGAAAAAGGAAATCCTGTACCCATTACTCTCAAATTTCCCAGCCCTAGACAATCACTATATTACTTTTAGTCTTTACGGGTTTGAGTATTAGAAAATTACAAATTTTATATGTGGTCTTTTGTGACTGACTTCTTTCACCTAGCATAATGTTTGCAAGGGTCTTTCTGCTGGAGCATGTATTAGTCTGGTACTGTCAGTACCGTGCTTGATTGTAAGTGTGAAAACTGATAGGCATGAATTCTTAATTCTCCTTTAAAAAAATTCTTTTTCTTCAAGACTGTTGTGGTTATTGCTAATTGCATGGAAGCCATGAGCCAGAGAGATGCAGAGGATTGGTATGTGCCTAACACTGCCTTGAAGAGACACAGCTGCCATTTAGGCTTTCAATAAGATGACTGATACTACCAAAATAAAGTTTAAAAGTTAAGTGCCACCTATTTTCAGTTTTATTGGCTTATTTTTATGTTTCAACTGTTTTCTTTAAAAGAATTTAGCCATCTATATATTTAAAGTGAGTATCTGTTGCCCCTGCCCTTGCTTTCAGTTTTATTTCCTCTATACCACTTCTTGAAATGTAAATTTCATCATACAACTTTCTAACCTTTTCAACTTCTCCAGAGTGGTGAACTTCAAGCTCTCAACCTTTCGCAGATCTGAATCACCTGGCTTCCACTCTGGCTTTGTCCAGTGCTAGTCTCATCAGATCTAAAACACTCTCGGCTTCAGCTACTTGGATTACCAGGTTCTATTCCTTTACTGGGCTTTTTCTCTGTGGTTTTATTTTATTCTTCTGCCACCTGATTTTGGCTAACTCTCCATCCCTGAAGTTTTGAGATGCTGCATCTCCAAGGAGCTTTGCTTGAAACAAAATCTGGACTAGGTGTTCCTCAAAGGAGTTTTCAAAGCAACTTGAAATGGTTTGTATGGCATCTTCCTCCTCTGTTTTATCACCATTTTCTCTTTGAAAAAAACTGTCTGCATATTTCAGGCTACTGTAACTTGTGTTGGAGCAGGAACCATGTCTACCTCAGTGTCAGGCTCAGTGACAAGTACATAAAGCTCAAAGTATGTTCATATGTGAAGAAAGAATTACTAACATTCAAACACACATTTACATCACCATTGACATATGAAATTACAGGTCCTGGACATACTGAGTTCTCTTATATCCTTCTTCCTTTTGCACTGACTATTCTTTCAATCCCATGAACATCTGGTGAACTACTGATGAACTTCTTAATTTTATCATTATTACAGTCATGTGAAGCTTTCCTGACCTTTCAGCTTTTCTCCAAACCTAGGCAAGTTAGGTTTCTCTACGTCTGTATAGTTAATAGTTTTATTTATACTTATTTTTGATCTTACCAATTCCAATTGCTGAGCAGAGTACTTAACATGCAGTCAAAATATATAAGAACTGTTCTGTTGGAGCTGTACACCAGTGGCTCACATCTGTAATCCTAGTTATTTAGGAAGCTGACACCTGGAGGATCCTGGTTTGAAGCCAGCCTTGACAGAAAAGTCCATCTCCAATTAACAGATGCCATCTCCAATTAACCAGCAAAATACCAGGGTGGAGGTGTAGTTCAATTGGTAGAGTGCCAGTCAAGCAAACTGAACAAGTATGAGGCTCTCAGATCAAACTCTGGAAGCAGCAAAACAAACAAACAAACAAAAAACCCAAAACTAAAACCAACCAACAATGATAACCCAAAGAGTTCCACATCAGGAAGGAAACAATGAACAGGCATATGGGGAGGGGAAACATACTCAAGAAGATCTGTAGGAAATTGAATATAAGAGCAGACTTAATTTCTGACTTCAGAAATTAAGCGAAAAAGGATCCAAAAGAATGTTTTGGAAAGGTTGATACACATGGAGAGAAGAAAATGAAGACTGTAAGTGATCACAGTTAGGTGAATATGACTAATAATGGGAACATGGCAAGGGAGAAACAGTTTTATATAAATATAAAATGATAGTATATTGCAAGAAGATACAAGCATATGTGTTATATACAGTGCTTCATGGAAAAAAGGATGAAAAGGGCAAAAGTAAGACTGCCATCTAGCAAGAATACATTTTAATTTAGTAACTTCCTAGGAAAGATAGGTTTTAAATAGTTATCTCCATGTTATACAAAAAGGAATGCATGTTATGTGTACATGTGTATTATCTGGTAGTGAGATTGTGATAGGAATAAGAATCATTGTCTGCCAGGAAAAGGAAAAACTTCAGATTACCTGTATATAACACAGTCTCGATGCGATCTTTAATATGAGCCCTGCTACTCTCTGCAGCAAGAAGAGGTGCTGTCCCATTGGGTGCTGGAACAACAAGCGGTCCCACTAGAAATGCACATGCTCCACCGAGGTAACTGAGCATTGACGCAATCGCTGTGGCAGTGGCCCGTTCATCTGCAGAAAACCATGTTGTGGAGAGGAAGGGTGGGGCATTCATTACCGTTGGACCTGCCAATCCATTTAACAGTTGTCCTGCGTGGATTAATCTGTAATTAGAAAAGTTACAAAACTGTGAGTTATTTGAAGTAGAAAAAAAATCAGCCAAAAAAGAAGTTTAACTATGACAATAAGAATAAGTAGCCTGGCATGGTGGCTCATGCCTGTAACCCCAGCTATGTGGGAGGCAGAGATCAGAAGGATAGAGGTTGAAGACCAGCTCAGGGAACAACAGTGAGATTCCATCTCAAAACAAAAACTGAGCATGGTGGTTTCCGATCTGTAATCCTAGTTAATACAAGAGGTATAATAAGAAGATAACAGTCCAGGCTAGCCTGGGAAGAAATGTGAAACTCTAACTCAAATATACCTAAAGCAACAAGGGCTGTGGGCACGGCTCTAGTGATAAGAGCATCTACCTAGCAAGCATGAGGCCCTTTTTGATCTCCATTCTGAGAACTTTAAAGTTTTTCACTCAGGGTTAGTACTTTACCACTTGAGCTACAACTCTATTTCTGGCTTTGGCCAGAATTGCAGATAAGAGTCTCATGAACTTTTCCTGCTCAGGCTGGCTTTGAATCATGATCCTCAGATCTCAGCCTTGTGAGTATCTAGGACTACAGGAGTGAGCCACTGGTTACCAGTGGATCTGGGTACTTTATGAAGAGGAAAATCCTGGCCAATTTCCTCTATGCTTGAGGAAAACAAACCCTACAAAAAAGGGGCAAGTGATGTGGCAATCTTCCAAGAATCCTATGCCTTCTCAAATGGATCACTACAGGGGCTTAGGACGGCCCTGTATGTTCATATACATACACATACATGCACATATTTATGTATATGCCTACATATATTTACATTTTATTGTTATTATTAAGGAGTTGTACAAAGAGGCTTGTAATTCCATAAGTCAGGTAATGAGTGATTTGGACAATGTCACCCCTTCCTTCGTTTTCTCCCTTCCATCCTATCCACAAGTTGCCTAATTCATTTTTTAATAGTATATGTTGAATACAATGACTGCATGAAAATAAATACATGCTGTTAATGAATATGATACACTTAAAAGGCAAGTTGACTTCCCTACTAAAAGGTCTAAGGGAGATCAAATACACAGTTACCATTTTTTTCACTTCATAAGTATTTACTAAAGCCTCTAGTTCTTGCCATATACCAAACTAAGTACTTCCTATAACCTTTGTTTCATTTAATTTTATAATACCACATGGTAGCTATCATTATTCTCATTTATTGAAATTTTATTGAACTGTAAAAGCTGAAGCCAGCAAAGGTTAAAAAATCTGCTGAAATAAGTAGTAACAAGTAAAGCTGAAATTTAGATCAAGTCTGACTTCAACTCACATATTCTTTCTAGTGGGCCACCACTCACAATACTCATTCATAGACATAGGAAGCACCACAGCCCTAGAAACAACACAATAAAGCTCAACACTTCATACCCATCTTTTCCCAGATACTGGAAATTATACAATGAGAAGATGAGTTTAATTACATATGCATTGCTAAGTATCTGTGAGGTTAAGGATTAGAATCACAGGTTAACCAGGCTTTTTTAGTTATTTTTTGGGAGCGGGGGATGAGGATGGAAATAGGTTCTCATGCATATTCTTTCAGTTCTAATACTGATTTTAACTTTAGTTTTAAGAGTTATTGAGGAGTAGATTCTTACTTCTATTATTGCATCTGTTCTCAGTATGTTACTCAACACTCTTATATCTTACTTATCTCATTGACCAAACCCTTTGTCTTTATTGTTCCCTGCCCTCAACATACACATTCATATTCAAGAAAAGACTTTATGGAAAAAAGAAACAGAAGTCCACACAACCTAGACTAGAAAGAGGAACAGCTTAATCTCCTGCCTTGGAAGTAGAGAAAATGAAAAAGGATAGTATATAAGGCATGCTTTCATACTATTTTCCCGTCTTGTTTGCTTGTTAAGTATCCTGTTTCAGATTTCTTCCCTCTCCTCCTCTTCTAACAACTACCATCTTTAAGTCACTTAGGAAGTTTTCTGAAAGCAGAAGGAAATAGGTATATGGGAGAGGAGGTAGAGTCCTAGTATAGAAACAAGTAAGTTAGAAGTAAAATATTATGAAGTTGGTCTGCCTATATCTTTTTAAATATCTTCTTTAAGGACAAAGTAGCTCTAAGTGTCATTAATAATACTAAGCAAATGGAAAACATTTTAAAATCTCCTATGTAAACGGAACTATTTTTTAGATGATGAAAATGAACTGAAACTGTTTACACAATCAGTTCCTCAAAAAGCTGGTTGCTCCCACAGCAATTTCACTATAGGAAGATTCCTGATCCTGACTCCAGATGGCACAACAATCAGACTATGCATGATGGCTCTTTGACAGTACTCTTAACTGAGCTGTTCCTAAAAGCAGCATTGGAATGAATAAACTTGATGCCTAAAAGTGTTAACAATAAAAGAAGGACATGGAAGAAATGATTAATCAAAAACAGATAAAAGACGTGAAATAGGATGAATTCAGAGTTAAAAGTATAAAACTCAAATTACTGCTATAGCTTCACTTTTCATTGCCGTTCCTAAATTATCCAGGCAACAAGTGCAAGAATCAGAGAATGTGTGAGATAATTTAAGGTTTATCCAAGTGCAGTTCACTAAGTTGTCAGGAAAGAATATCCCTTCTACAACATGGCACTTGTGATAAGTGTCCAGAGAGCATAGAGCACTTGGGATTCTGTTTAGAGGTCACTGAAATATGAATTATTAGTTAAAATCATCTCAAGATTAAGACAAATATATTTGACATTTAAAAGTTACCAGTTTTTGGCCGGGCATTGGTGGCTCATATCTGTAACCCTAGCTACTCAGGAGGCTGAGATCTGAGGATCATGGCTCAAAGCCAGCCCAGGCAGGAAAGTCAGTGAGACACTTATCTCCAATAAACCAGAAGCGGTGCTGTGGCTTAAGTGGTAGAGCACTCGCCTTGAGCTGAAGAGCTAAGGGCCCAGAGTTCAAGCCTCACAACCAACAACGACAACAAATTTTAAATAATTGCTTGGTTTTTGCATTAAAAGCCATCACACACAGTCTTTATAAAAGATCTTTTGGCTTTTGGGATAACCTTCTGAATCTATGAGGATTACCCACTAGCAGGTAAGCCCAATTCCTTTTTATCCAGCATCTCTTAGTTTTTCCAGAACTTAGTCTTGGTCCTCCTCATATGATATCCCAGAATCCTCAAGGCTTGGCAATTATATAATATGCTGATGGTCATAAAGTATTGTTTGAGTGACTCTGTGATGTTACACCAATCAGTAACATAAAGGTTTTCATGTTTGTCTGACATTCTTCTACCATTAAATCACCTTTTGTCTTTTCTCCCAGTTACTGGGGATAAAATCCAGAGCTCTTGCATACTATACAATCACTGTACCATTTGAGCCATGTTCTCAGCCCTTTGCCTTTTATTTTTGAGGTAGGGTTTTGCTAATTTTACCTTAACTGGCTTCAAACTCATGATCCCCCTGCTTCAGACTCCTAAGTATCTAAAATTACTGGCATATACTATCATGGCTTGTTAAACTGCCCCCACTTATGAAATGAAATCTGAAAATACCATTTTAAAATAAAGTTACGTTTAATATAAAAGCCTAATTTTCTTATCCAGTGTCAAAGCAAAATCTGAGATTAGTTTTTCCAGAAAAATGCTGACTCTTAAGACATAATAAAATCATATAGATATTTCCAAAAAACTCTCTAAAATGACAACATAAGATGATAAAGTATTTAATATAAGCAGCAGTCATTATTTGACTCAATACCATGTGTTAAGTATTCATTGTGTATTGCAAGGGCACTGTAATAGGTACATATGGGAACGTAAAAATAATAAGTCAAAGTTCTTCAGTAGGGGTTTAGTTCCAGTGTAAAGCACCTAGCTAGCAAACAAAAGGAAGGCCCCAATACTATTACCAAAAAATAAGATAAACTAAAATCAGCTTGAGCATTTCTAGGCATAGGTGGAATGTTACCTATCATCATAGGAAGAAATACCGGAACATAAAAAAATCACAGGGCAATAATCAGACCTGCTCTAATGTGCTTGTCTGTGAGGCCTGGACATGAGTACAAATGGAAGTCTTTGCAAGCCCTCTTGTCGCTACGCCATGACCTGGGAACACACCAAGGACGAACAGATTTGGCAAAGAGGTCTGGGGTCCAGTAAATAAAGAGATGAGCAAAGTGGCACATCTCCTGGGCTCTATGTACTCCTCTCTCTGAAGGATAGCCAGAGTGGACATTAGCAGGCATGGAATCTTGGACAGATATCCTGCAGCAGTTCTAAGGTGGGTCAGGCAACAATAGTGGTAGGTGAAGGAAGGTGTGGTTTGGAGAATTGTTAAGGAAATATAACAAGTACAGTGAGGCATTGTGCCAAGATAATAATGCCCACTAGATGACTGAATAAGCAGGTCTAAGTTGGGATGTAAATGTTGATATTGGACTGGTGGAGAATAAACACTAGAGGATATCAATATTTTAAAAATAATTAAGAGGACTGGGAATGTGACTTGGGGGTAGAGTGCTTGCCTAGCATGCATGAAGCCCTGGGTTTGATTCCTCAGTACCACATAAACAGAAAAGGCTGGAAGTAAAGCTGTGGCTCAAGTGGTAGATTGCTGCCTTCAGCAAAAGCTCAGGGACAATGTCCAGGCCCTGAGTTTAAGCCCTGGGACTGGCAAAAAAAAAATAGTTAAGAATCTAGAAAGATGATTAAGAAGGGGCATTACAGGGGCTGGGAAGGTGGCTTAGTGGTAGAGTGCTTGCCTTGCATGCATGAGGCTGGGGGTTCCATTCCTCAGCACCACATAAGCAGAAAAAGCCAGAAGTGGTGCTGTGGCAAGTGGTAGAGCGCTAGCCTTGAGCTGAAGAGCTGAGGGACGGTGCCCAGGCCAGAGTTCAGGCCCCAAGACTGGCAAAAAAAAAAAAAAAGAAGGGGAATTACAGAGGCGGTAAAGAAAGGAAAGAGAAAACAATGGTATCTTTCCA